ATTTTCAATCGAGAATAACTTTATGATGCAGACACAAATCGACTAATGTTTCTATGGGGTTATGTTGACAGATGCCCAAGTTTATTGTATGACGTCTATGATCTATTTATTTCGACTACCACTTACCCTAAAGCCATCTATAGGAAAATGGCGGAAGCAAAGTTGTACACCTAATACTATAATATTTATAATAAATGTTTATGATCTGTGTGCAATTCAAGAATATTTACAAATATTTTATTAATATTTTATAAATATTGTGCTGTCTGGGTTGTATATAAAACAAATATTGTTACAAGTCAACATGAGAAGCTGATAACAAAACTGTAATTATTTTTCAACTTTTTTTTATTTTTTACATAAAGTTAATCGGTTTAGATTTATACATTATCATTTAGAGCTGCCGCAGACAAAATTTTTGTAACAGTAACTTAAACCGATAAGCCAATCAGGTTACTGCTTTAGATTTACGTACTCTAACGGAAATAGAAATAACAGTAAATTTATCCATAAGGTGAGTTTCAATCGGTTGAAACTTATCCTATTGCAATAAGTATCTTATTATAGATAAGTTTACTATTATTTCCATTTCCATTAGATTATGTAGATCTAAAGCAGTATTCTGATTGGTTCATCGGCTTAAGTTTACGTCTTACAGTTACTGTTGCGGAATTTTGTGTGCGGTAGCCCTTAGCTCAAATTCTTACAGACAACAGCGCTTTGACACAGATCACTATTGTCCATACGAGGAAACCCATCCGGGCTAAAGCCTATTTTACAATAGTCGTAAGCGTAGTTATAAGTAATTGTAGTTGTAAGAATTGACCAATCACAGTCAAATATTCTCCTCACATTCGACTTGATTGGTTAATACTTACAACTACAACCACTTATTCTTACGACTATTGTAGACTTTAAGTCCATTCTATATTAGACGCAAGCCGATCGCAAGTTTGTTGCGACAGTCAATTTAAGATTGCATTTTGAAATCAACGCTTTATATTGGCTGTCGTAACAAACTTGCGATTAATGAACTGGCTTAATGTAGAATGAACTTTAAGATGCTAAAATTCCTTTAGTAAGAGTCAAGTCATGAGGGGCACCGATCTTTTGATTGGTCAGATTTAGAGTCTCTTTAAACGCCATTTGCAGATACTTTCGAACTGGTAGTGAATCTATGAATTGGTGTGAGCAACTGCTTCATGATGTAGAAAACGTAAACGTAAAATCGGATTATCAATTGTCAATCACGGTGGAATTATGTTGTTTCCGGCCGGGACCCAACACTCGATAATGGCATCTTTTTACTCTTATGTCTTAACTTTAAGGGGCTTTGCACAATAAAAGGAAACAGAAAACAGAGAATAAGAATTTCAATCTATCAAAAATCATGTATTGTGGAATATACAGTTTCTAATAGTTGAAATTCTTATTTTCTTTTCCCTTGCGGAGTCCCTTAGAGGAACTCTATAGGTGCCATGCTTATTTTCAATGACGATTAAAAGACGTTACGTGGACGACGCTATTCTGTTTGATGCTAGCGTCGAGAAAGAAGTGAAGTTGAATTTGTCTAACAGTTAGCGTCGTCACTGGATCTTCGTTAATCAATTCGATTTAAAATAAAAAATGGACTTTAACGTACGTAATTAATTTTTATAAATTTTACATCTTCTTAATAATACAAATTAAATAATATATCTTAAAAAAATATATTTTTTATACCTCAATTTTATAAGGACTGAAAGATTATAATTAGCTAAAATATGAAATAATAATATTAACAAATTAGAAGTAATTTAAAAATATTTGTAATATTAAATTTAATATATTTTTCAGGATGAATCCCTCAATTTCGTATAAACACAATGTGGGTTATGTGAAACGATCTGCGAGCAAGCAGATATCATCATGCTTATTTAAAAGGCTATACGCAATACATAACTGAATCTGATACATTATATTTTTATCCTTTATTAAATTAATTTCTATAACTGTTATATATTATAAGGTAGACGTTTTATTATATTTATTATTTAATACATATTTTTACTTAATTTAATACATGTTATTATTTATATAATATTTTGCAAATGATGGAATGACCGTAATAAAAAGCCGAATGCCAAGCATAAATAAAAAACAAATAATAACAATGCAATCATACAAGAAAAATATTAAGTAATAAACTTGAGTATCAAAATAATGTGAGAACTTTTTTTATTGTTTCTAATGTATTTAAGTTTTGCATTTTATTACACCCACACAAGGAGTGTTATCTGAGCAAAATTCTTGTGAGAAACGAAGAAATAGAAAGCTTAAAAACAAAACTTAATCATAATGATGACTCTCATTTTAAAAATCCAGACAAGAGTCTCTTTGAAATTATAAATTTCCATTATCAATTACGCAACATAAAAATTACAAAAAAATTTATGGCAAGAAGTAAATGCTTTAAATTGGAAAATTATAGCCAATGAAACTAAAATAAGATTTAAAAGCTTACTGATATATACCAATGAATTGCGTCTCAGCGTCATGATTAAAAGTTACATGTATAAAATTTGTTGCTCACATGTTTTTAGTACCTAAATGTTCCTCCAAAATTAGCAACAAAATAGGACTAGATTTTTAACCATGTTTCAACTCGATTTGTATTAGTGGATGATCCAGGTTAATATAGGTCGAAGATAAAAGGATGTACGAATAGTCGATTTGGGACACCCTGTACACTGCAGCCTGAAAATCTATAGTTCATATTACGTATACTATAGATTCTTTATACTGTGCACACTGATAGTGTGCATCTATATATTGGAACATGGTCTTTATTGTTAGAGGTAGAGATTATATTTATAAATATTTTATTTGTTTAATAATATAATTTTTTCGATATATTTCTGCACTATTTTTGCTTAAAAAAGCAACAAAATCTGATATTTCTTTGATATCATAGCTCTGTGTATACTTTTTTATTATAGGAAGGTCCAGCTTGCCATTAACTTGACTCTCCCATTTTCTTTTTTTTTTGCTGCTAAATGGTTAGAGCAATAAAATAGCAACAAATTAGCAACAAAATAGCACTAAATTTTTGACCATATTCCAACTCGATTTGCGCTGGTGGGGGAGGGGTCCAGATAATAGGGATTTATCTTTGTAGGACAAGGTTCAACAAAAAATATGTTCATATATTTAATAGTTTTAAAAAGATTTGCTACTAGTTTCAATTTGACTTTGAGCCGCATCGCCAAGATTAGATCAAGATCGATTTTTTAAAACGAAAACCCTCATCTTTTTATTACACATTCAATTTATCACAACAGCTTTTCAAAACATAACAAAATATTTTTTTATTAAGTACTTTTTAAGTTAGAAAACTTGAAAGTTATTATATCGTTGATATTAGTATTATCTATAAAGCATTATCTAAGGTGTTCGATTGATAGATAAAACCTTTTAAATGTTTCTCAGAGTTATGATTTTGACATCATATACCAAGATCAAGGCCTTTCGAAGTTGTTCCTTTTATTTTCATTTTTAGTGTGAAACTTGAATAACATTTATAAGGTTTTAATCGAACACCTTAGATAATGCTAATGTCAATGTTACTGTAACTTCCAAGCCTTATAACTTAGAAAGTACTTAATAAAAAAATATTTTGTTATATCCAGTCAGTATATAACGTTTAAGAAATATATTTTAAATATTAATTTAATATTTTTACATTAAATAAATATTTAAAAACATTTTAAAAACATTGTCTGCTGATTGAGTAGTATTTTAAAAAGTTCTCAAGATAAACTACAAGAATATGCAATAAAAGTTTCTGTTTGAAAAAATCGATGTGATCTTGATCTAATTTTGACTACGCCATCCAAAGTCAAATTAATAAGACTAATAAATAAAGCTTTTTATTTATAGCTCCAGACACAATGAGAAGGAATAGTGCTATAATGATAAAAATTATTCGATTTTAACTTATCAGAAATTATGTATGTACGGTGTATTATCGAATTCTGATAGGTTATTACTTTCATTGCTACCGCTATTCCTTCGCATTATTTCTGAGGCTTAAATCCTAAAATTATTGTCCAAACATATTTTTGATTGAATCTGTAAAAATAAAAGAGATGTACGGTTGTCATAGAAATGCCAAGGAAAGAGGAGAAGAATTAATAAACAAAGAAAAATAAATTAAATTTACAAAATAAAGATACAATGCTATTGAGCGCTTTCTTAATTATTTTTTTCTTTTGTAAGATAATTTTTTTCTTGCATTTTCATGCCACGTGACAATAAGCGAGCAATCAGTCAAATAAAAAAAACTGATCAGTAAGTGATTCTTTAATAATTAGTTATTGCCTTCAGTTCTTTGTTGGATCTAAATATAGGAATATATTAAATTAAGAATTATTGCGTGATTACTAATCAGGGCCTTTATTCTTGAAAAAAAAAAAAATGTATATAAAAAATTAGGGAAATAGATTTCAATCATTTCGCTTACGGACTTATTCTATGCCCTGTTACATATCCAGCTACAAGTGATTGATCGATCAATATCGAATTAACGTCGATTGACGTTGAATTAACATCGACTTGACGTCGAGCTACATTGAATCAGCATTGATTTAATGTTCATCAATCAATCATTTCTGGGTTGGAAAACCAGCTTATTCTCAATGTACAGCTTCTATTGCTATTGTTCATTGTAGACGACATTTAAAAGATATTTTAAAGATATTTAAACGTTTTGCGTGTTTAAAAGATGTCTTCTTATGTCCCGATTTTAAACTTTGTGTTACTTAAATAGAATTGAATTGATTATATTCAGCATTCCTCTTTATCTCCGAAACGAGGACTATGTTTCAAATTTGACTGCTTATATTGAAAATCTATAGTGCACGTAAAAACTGTAGCATTTTCAGCGCTGGCAGTAAATTTGGATTATAGCCGAGGAGTAGTATCGTTATTACGTGCATTCTTCCTCCCAATAATAGTAAAATCTTATCTCTGTAAAAGCGCATCCTCTGATAACACAGATTCACACTGGCTTAGATAGACTTACATAGACGGACTTTGAACATTGATTTCACGATTGTCTTTCGACAGACCGAGGACGCCAAATACCAGTGACTACGAGTAGTCTTTATTTTATCGCAACGTGACGTGACGGGACAATACGCGACAATATGCGCCGACGCCGTGGCGTCCAGCGTTTACGCGCGCGTGGATAAAGGCGCGCGTAGAATCGAACGTCTTGAAGTTGTCCGCCAGCGGTTGGGTAAAAGGAGTGCGCGTGTAGTGGATAAAGGCGCGTTTGCAGAATCGGATGACGCCAAGTTAGTTGCGTGCCAGTCGATCGGGTAATAGGAAAGCGTGCGGAAGAAATGTGAAACGCGCTCGTGCGTGACGAAAACTCGACGCGGAGATTGTCAGCGAGAAAGGTGTGTGACCCGTGCGACACTGATCTACACATACACACACAGAATGTCTGGTCTGGAAATGACAATAAGGTCTGCGGAAAGAACGCGCGATCCGCAACAGTGGGCGGACGACGCGCAAGTCGATAGATCGCTCTATCTGCTCTTCGAAGATATATCGTACAGCGTACAGAAAAGGATCTTATCAAAGGGTAAAACGATATTCGTTATAAAATCATGTATTATTGTTAAGAATAATAATAACAAAAATAATAATAAATCATTGTGATATATATGATACATACATAATTCGATTAGAGATATACACGTCATTAAGATAAGAAAAGAGTGATTATATAATTATATATAAATAAATGTAACATTATAATTATAAAAATATTCTAAGTTAACTTAATATTTTATTACACATGCAGTTGAATCTAATTTTCAATATAACTTTTCTAAACAAAATATAATTGAAAACAAAATATAATTAGAATAATGATTGATTGATTATGAATTTTATAGAGATGATGTAATTGAGTACAAATATAACTTCAGCATAATAAAAGTCATAATTTACATTAAGAAAAAAATGCATTTAAATGAATCAATTAATTTCTTGTTTTTTTATTTAGATTGGACAAACAAGTCTTTGATGTCATAAAATAATTTAGTTGTAAGAAGTAAACATTTGGTTATTATAACATTTTATCAGAAATAAGTAAAATGTTAAAAAGGCTGTGCTCCAAAATTCACTGCCAGCTGAAAATCTATAGTTTATGTTACGTGTATTATACATTTTCAGCACTGACAGTGAATTTTGAAACACAGCCAAAACGAACTTTTTGTGTTTCAACTAAATTATTTTATTGTATCAACTAAGGATTTATCTAAATAAGAAATTAGTTGAAATTAGTTTCAATCAAATATAGGATTCTCAGTAGTATAATTACGTATAGAAACAATAATAATTAAAGAATGATTATTGAAAATTTCTGCTGTGATAAAAAAGTAATTTTTATTAAAAATTTATTAAAGTATACTAAAAGTTTATTAATATATTATGAAGAATATTGCTTTTTAGTAAGTGAAAATATAGAAATTAATAATAGTGTTTGTTTTACAAATGTGAAATCTAAGAGCTCTCGTTTAGAAAATGAATATATTTATTCTTAGAACAAAGACATACGTTGTTAAGAGTACTTTGAAATCGATAAAATTTATCACGAATTGCTGTTTGATTAACAATAAGTTTCAAAGTGTAGCGAGATTATATTATATTTCATTACTCTTATGATTGATATTCGATTCTTGTTGAAATATCCATCACATACACATTTATCCAGTAAACAAATTGCCCAGCAAACGATAATGAATTGAAATGAATTGAAATGAATTCAGATATTTTCTGAAATATTGATTCACGAATGTTAAAATGAATGCTTTTCAATCCTGAATGCATTTTTATTCATTTATAGGAATTGCATATGCTCTGTGCCTTTCAATCTAAAAATAATATTAGCTTTTTCTGTGCACAACACACACATTATGAATATTGTTTAATTCAAAAATTTGAATAGGAAATGCAGTTTTTTAATCCAATTAAATCTAATTGAATCCAATTAAATCTAAAAAAAAGTATTCGTTATTTAAAATACTCATTCGGATAGAAAAAAATTTCCATTCTCGTTTGCTGGATAGCAAACCAAAAAGTCAAGTAGGCATAAAAACTCGATGAGAATTGGCAAATTTAATACCATTTGCATCAGTAATAAGCTTGTGTTTTGCTAGCAAAACCTGGATATATAATTAGATAAAGTTAAAATTAAAAAATTGTAACAGTAAAAACCGAAGAAAATTTTGGTTAGTTTATGTTTTTGTCATCAGTTTGCTATCAGATTTTTAACAAACTTTGCAGTTTTGCCGACAATTATAATTGTTATATGTTACATCAGCCGATTTTATTTACTTGACACCTGTAATTTGCTGACACTATTTAACATGATAGAATTTGCATCAAATTTAATACGTTGACAAAATTTGTAGCAAGCATTTAACAAAATTTGTTTTTAATAGACTCGTTTTTTAACAAATTATTTTTTAACTTGACTGACTAATCTATCTCTATAGAAGAAAATTTAAAATCTCTTAAATAAATTTCTATTTTACATACATTATTAAATATTTTAAATACATAAATTGTATAAGATAGAAAAAAGAAGCATCTCGAAAGTCATTACGAAATAATATTTCAAAATACAAACATACGTGTGTCTCTCACGGTGGTCACGTACTTTTTCTCTTTTTTCTTTCTTTCTCTCTGTCTTTTTCTCTCTTGGCCAATGCTAAGGAAATATTTATCATTTTCAAATAAAGCTTTATCTTTTCTGAAAACTCCTCGCTTGATCTCAGCAACGATCAAATTTTGTCTTATCATTCCCTGGCGAAAATAAAAATAAATGACAAACGTAAGAGAAGAGTAACAGAAGCGAAAATAAAGCTTCTAGTAAGTGAATATGGAGGCAACATAAAAGAAATGTAAATATCTTTTTTTATGTTTCAATATTTGCATGCTACAAGCTTTGTTTACGTTTACAGCTATTCTCTTCTTATATTTGTTTACTTTTGTTATTGTACTTACATTTCAATTCTTATATGTGTGTGTGTGTGTGTGTGGTGTGTGTGTGTGTGGTGTGTGTGTGGTGTGTGTGTGTGTGTATGTGTGTGTGTGTGTGTGTGTGTATTAAGAAGATGAAACACTTTTAAAAAAAAAATCAACTCACGCATTTCTAAGTATATATTATCAAAACACATATGTAAAAATATTTTAAGTAAAACTTTTATAGTATCACAAAAACATTTTCTAATATCGTATATTTAAATTTTTTTTAAATGTTCGGAAAATACTTTTCAAAATATTTTTCAAAATATTCCAATACTCACTATTATTTTTAAGAATTTTGGAATGTTTTGATTATCATTGTTTACTTAAAAAACATTTAGATATATTAAAAACTTATCTATTATTACTTTGTTTTTATTTACATTTTTAATATATTTTTGATTTTTTTTTATGAAATCCTTATATAAATTTAATTTTTATAAAATTTATA